GCTTTGCAATGCATGGAAGAATTAGAACGGTATGGTTTCGCTCATAATCAACCAGCAATGGTTGAAACTTTATTCGGATTGCGGCGAAAATTAGAAAGAGGATGGGCAAATTCAAAGACAAAAGCAAAAAAGCAGTGTCTTGTGACGGACTTTTTTACAAGAATTAAGTGATATCATATGTTGAGCTAATGCTGTAAGTACAATTAAAAAAATACATTCTGAACATTTAAAATTTCATTGAGGCTGGGGTGTAATGTGCAACCATGAGAGTGGGGTTCAAAAGATTATTAATACTATTGTCATTAATTCTTAATTCAAGCAAGCCTACAGTAGTTAGATTATGTAAAATAGAATACATTGTCGGTAAACGTAAGGTATTGGTGCCCTTCTTTGAGCTTATCCATGTAAGTTTAATTTAGTGAAAACAAAAGTTATGAAAATTTAATTTACCCCTTTGATTTTTCTTATCAATAATTTCCTTTTTTGGGAAGGGCTCCATAATACTTCACAATTACCACATTGTCATTACACCACAATATGAAAGGATATTTTCCCCTTTCCCTCTATCCTGGACACCTCTGTAAGTTGGACACATTATCGTGGAACCGCAAGTGTCCAAGTTAGAGAGGTTTTACTGTACTAGGCTACCATGACTGAGGTTTTCCGTGCTTGTCCTCAGTTGTAAGGCAAATGACAGCGTATAATTTAAAACGGGCACTGCCTTTCTTCCCCAGTCATGGAGATCTTCAGCTGAAGTGAACCCCCCACGATGTGTCCATCTGACAAAGCAATCCCAACAATTCTGTGCACAAATCCCAGAGAGCCATCCAACCCAGGTCCTTCTCACAATGATCAAGTTACCTGATGGAACACACTCTCCCCAATATTAATAGCCCTTAGTTTGAATAGCCAAGGCTTTTCGCCATGACAAAGTATTCGTTAGCGTAAGCACACTCCCGTTTTAATTTTAAGGCACTTCTACCGTTTCCAGTTATGCGTTCCGTACGCAGGAATGGTGTTACATAGCAAGGGACGATGTCTTGCGCTTGCGCAGGACTCTGCCCTCAGTTGCCTTTCTGGTTGTCTCTGATGATGGAGAAAGAGGTCTCTGTAACGGTAAACTACGGGTCCGTATTCACGCGGTCAGTCGCCCGAGAAAATTTTGGCGAAATTATCGAAATTTTGCATTACTGAGATCTGAGGTGTTAGTCACAGTGGAAATATACCATAAACCCACTCGGACTGACACCAAGCATCAAACAACTCCAGAAAATAAAGTTACGGTCTTCAGTTATATAGTGCATAGATTTAATACTGTGTAAACCTAAACTGAAGAACGTAACAAAGTAAAATCAGTGCGTTATATCTCCAAGGATAGTTAGTGCTGGGATAAGCGAGTTAGACCGAGCGGAAGTCTGCTGGTTTCCGGTAGGACGCTGAAGAATTGAAGTCCACTTGTAATACAATCGGTGATAGATTTTTTTTCCAAAATAATATTCAAATAGTGATACGACGTAGATCTCATAGCTCAGAAAATCTGAAAAATCCACTGAGATGCATTCCCATACCTTTGATGGTAAAACTGTGCCTGCCATTGCCTTAGGTGAGAGAAAACATGTCTTTGACCCAGGAGTAAGCTTCATTGTCCGCCCATGTTCTTCCACCAAACCTTTGACAGTAGACAACTCTTGACTTCAGCAGGCAGACATGACCCTCACAAGAAAATTCAAACGTATGCTGTTGAAGATTTGGAAGTAGCACAGTTCTTGCTCCTTTTTGTATGGTTCTGGGGTCTTATCATGATTAGGGAGGGTGGGCTATGCCCATTTTGAATTATACCCTGTCATTTCCCTTACAACTGAGGAAAAGCACGAGAAACCTCAGTAAGTGTAGCTGAGTGGTTAGGCCACCCATTATGCCGACTTGACCATCTTTTCAGGGACAGCCTCAACTGGCCCACTGAACATTATCCCCCTTCAGTTGCCCTTGGGTGACCTCAGTCAGCCTTTGGTCGGCACAAGTGCCTTCCAAGTTGCCAAGCTAAGGGGTTCCCCATATCAGCTAACTTGAGTCAAAACTCTAAGTTAGTTGTCTGATGAGGTTGGCAAAGAATGGAGTCCTCAAATCCTCGTGAATTTGCCTGTTACCAACATACCACGGCAGATTCCAGGCGCGGCTGACCTCCAGAATGGGCATGCATAATCCATCACAGGATGGATTAGCTGCTTGTGGAGCAGCGCAGCGTTTCTGACAAATAGGCCGCTTCTCCCTCTG